TTCTTCAGTGAATTGACTGTTTATATCTTTTGCCCATTTTTAATTGGGTTGCTTTCCTCTTTCTCAGTGACCTTTAGGAATTTTAAAAAGATATTTGGATACTAATACTATGTGTGTTTTAAGTCGAGGTTTGTCTTTCGTTCTCTTTTATGATGTCTTTCAATCCAGAAAAATTCTTAATTTTAATGTAGTGAAATTAGTAATTTTTTTTTGCAATTTATGCCTTTAAAAAAAATCCAATAGCAATGAGTTTTATTCATTCATGTTTAGTCATCAAAAGTGATGTCTGCTGCAGTAAAATATTCATTTAATGTAAATGACTGAACAAACCCATTTCAATGGATACTCAACAACCTTCTCAGTTACTTCAGCATATCCTCATGACAATGACCACATCAAAACAGTACTTTATTTTGTAAATTTCATCCTACTATTATTCTGTGTTATGGTTTTCCAGTTGTCAGATATACAGGTGAAGAAATTGTAACTGGAAAAAAAAATCCTTATGATCCATATATAATTTTCTGAACTTCTAGGTCCCAAATCCATGTAGGAACTCTGGGACTGCTAGTATAAGGTGCAACATACTAACGCTGCCGTAACAGATTAGCTTCTTTTTTATTTATTTATTTATTTATTTATTTTTAATTTTTAAAATTTTTATTGAATCAAAATTGATTATACATATTTTTGGGGTTCAACATTGACATATGTTGATCAGATCAATATTACTAGCATATATATTATTAGAAATCATAATTATTCTTTATGTCCCTTGTCCAATCCCTCCCCATCTCCCTTTCCCTCCCCCATCCCCCTCTAATTACCCTAGATTTCTTCTCTGCCTCTGAAAGAAAAATGGTTACTCTGTTGATTTGCTGCCCAAATGATCTGTCCAATGCTGAGAGGCATGATCAGTCTCCTAATACTATCATAGAGCAGATGCCTCTTCCATCACTCCAAAATGGGCTCAGTGGAGACATCCTCCTCCTTTATCTCTGCTGGTGACTCTCCTTGTATCAGTGCACTCCAGTGGGTGGCAGACCATCTGCATGGTGGTTTTGACATCCAGCTGCCTTTGCAGCAGCCATGGTTATCATGGTGGCTGTGGTGGGCCACCCACATGGAGGAGATGTTTTTGGCATGCTCTTTGGAGCTGGTGGTGTGCCTGGTTGTGGAGAGAGTCTGATCCCTGGCTCCATACCCTGGGTTCCCAGGTGGGCCCTGAGGTGCTGGTGCAGTGTGCCTGGTTGTGGGAGGTCCGGTCCCCTTCTCCATGCCCCAGGTCCCCGGGTGGGCCCTGAGGCACTGGCCCGGTGTGCCTGGTTGTGGGAAGGGGGACAGATTAGCTTCTTTAATTCTGAATATATTAGGTCAATTAGTGAGAGATAACCTGAGCATGGCAAAATATTCTTGTAACTTTTTGTTCTCACTCCAAATGAAAAAATTTGTGTTTACAATTTTCTTCCTATTGACTAATCCAGAAAGCTAATTTAGAGGTTTGTGTAACTGTATTAAGGAATAATAAATACTACCAGAACTAATAGTTGATGACTCATCCATTGACTGCTTGCATCATTTATTTAGCACTACATTAATGAGTTTGTCGAGAAATAATTTAATGAATAGCTTGGAGACTGAATAATTGAAATGAATATTACAAAATATTTGAAACCCTGTTTTGTAATAGAAGGAGCATTTGACTTCTAATATTCATTCTCCTGCCCTCCAAATGATCTCTTCAGCATTGTAGAACAATGTGGAATGATTTTGGTCTCATACTTAGTTAAAATGAAGAATTAGCCATTTAAGGCACATGCTCCATGTGGGACAATTGTTCTTTTGCATCTGCTTTACGGTTTCTGAAAGTAGTTATTGTCCAAAACTGAAAGAACTTCTTTTCTCAGATGAGCATGTTAATGAGTGGAGGGAGGTAAAGAAAAATAAAATTTTAAAAAGAAGAGATCTGTTAGGGCAGCAGCCAGACAAGAACATTTAAAAAGGACAGTAATGTAAGTTTATTCCAGGCATAATGCAGGTTATTCTGACTTTAGAATATCATCTCATGACATCCTTCTGAATCCATTTCCAAGATATTTTTTTACTTGTAGATCTGTGCAATTTTTGGCACCAGGAGGAATTAGGGGTTTGGATCACATGGCAAAGAACAGAGGGATCCTGAGGAATTATTAAGACAGAAGACCATTATAATCTTAGAATATCATGTCAAATGCTGCCATCACTGTCAGTATTTAAATAATGTATTCTTATAGATGCAGCCTTAAGGTTTTTAAGGGGTAGTCTGTAGGTAAATGAATTGCTGAAAAGAATATACCACCTTGACATGGGCTGTCATTAGATTCCATAATTGTGGCTTGCCAATGAAACACATTGTTAACAAGACCTGCAAAACATAGTGTTGGAAGGTCACTGGTTAAGTTCCTTATTAATCTATTTTTGTGTTATATTATGTGCTTTTATATCTGCCTCTGATGAGAGCATAGTGTCCAACCAAAATTCTTTGCTTCACATTAGCTCCCCTAATATATGTGCAGAGGGCCCAGGTCCTCCCTCTAGCTGGGCCTTGGTCTTAGCCTCTGTCCACACGGCAGCTGGTGCCTCCCTGCCCTTTGAGGCTCACACATACTACATGGCCAGAAGATGATTTTTGTTTTTGTTTTTATTTTTCAAAAAAAACCCAAAACCTTATTTTCCTACACTGAGGTAATAAAAATACTCTCTCTCTTTAAGTTTTACAATTTTTTCTTCCACATTTATGTTTTTAAACCACCTGAGCATGGTGTTGATTTTCATGTGTGGTAGAAGGTAGGAATCCACTTTTCATATTCTTTTTTATAGTTTTATCAAAAGGTGAGGAGGAACAGACCCTCTGTAGAGACTCTAATCTGCTGCCCCAGTAGTTCACTGACATTACTCAAAACATTGGTTGAGTTTCTCATACACCAACTCATTGCCTATTGCTTTGTTCTAGTCCTGTTACAACCTTTTTTCTTCTAGGATGAAAGTTGTATGTACAACCCAACAGGCAAGGCAGCTAAATGCAGAGGGTACAGAGAGATTCCTGAGGGGAATGAGAAGGCTCTAAAGAGAGCAGTGGCCCGAGTAGGACCCATCTCTGTAGCCATTGATGCAAGTCTGACCTCCTTCCAGTTTTACAGCAAAGGTAAGGAGCTGTTCCTATAGAAAACTGTCTTTTATGATGTGGGCTTAGTGGCTTCTTGAAGGGCCCTGAGTATTTTTAATACCTAGTTTTCATATTCAGACTGAGTCTGCCAGAAGAAACTAACAGCTGCTGCATTGCAGGGCATTTCTGTTGTAAACCATCCTGACTGGGACAGAATCTTACCAAGTCTCCAGACTGGAAGACCCCATAGGGCAATGCTTGGATTGCACAGAGCCTCACCATGATAGTTTGTTTCCTAGGTGTGTATTACGATGAAAACTGCAATAGTGATAATCTGAATCATGCGGTTTTGGCAGTGGGATATGGAATCCAGAAGGGAAACAAACATTGGATAATTAAAAACAGGTAATGATGGGAATGCTACTTTTGTCACTCAATCACCCTTATAATGTTCAACCTTATCTCCCAATATTCTTTTCTCTGTCTCAAATCAAGAGAAAGTTGTCTTGGGCTTTTCAGTTTTACCTTCCCAGTCAGAAGCTCTTAATTCTAACATTTAATGGCCAGACCCAAAGTATGTGTTAGTTAGCTGCTTTGTGTGCAAGGAGCTTAGTCACATACACAAAGAAATGAGTAGATGTCTGCCTTCAGTGATCTCACAGCCCAATAAGAAAGACAGACCTAACTAACCACGACATAAAGTAGCACAAAGAACCAGCAGGAGCTTTGGAATTACATATTTTCACTTTTTTTTTTTCTGTAATGTGATCAGTTAGGAAAGTTTCCATTATCAGTCTGTCTATAAGCAGTAGGGGAAGAATGGAAAGGTTTAATATCTCCTTTTGCAGCTTTTTGCTCTTCAAGATATACTTAGGATAGACATACATTAGAACTTGCCAAATATTGTGAAGTTTATGAAAAGAAACACTTTTTTAGAAATAAGATATGAGGGCCGGCCCGTGGCTCACTTGGTAGAGTGCGGTGCTGATAACACCAAGGCCGCGGGTTTGGATCCCATATAGGGATGGCCGGTTTGCTCACTGGCTGAGCATGGTGCTGACAACACCAAGCCAAGGGTTGAGATCCCCTTACCGGTCATCTTTAAAAAAAAAAAAAAAAAAAAAAAGAAATAAGATATGAACAAAAAAATCCTTAGTGTTTTCTTTCCTATTATTGGGAACAAATAAAACTCCAGGGTACCTTGCTTCCTATCTCTCTTTAGCTCCTTGTAGCTTTTGAGGAAGGGAGACAGATTAATGAGAATATACTTTTTCTTTCCTGGTTGGTCACCACCAGCCTGGCAGCAGCACTGATTAAATATGCTGTCTTTGGTGTCCTCCAAGGAGCAGGAGACCTAGACTCTGGGGAATTCACAGACTAATGTAGTGGTATAACCAAATTGAGCTGCTACCTAGGGGGCTGGCAGGCCTCAAGCATGAAGCAACATTTTATATCACAGTCCCAAGTCAGGGTGAACCTGAGAAGCTTTCTAAGAAGTACCTCTCCCACAGCATCTATCTTGTGTTTTCCCTTTCTAGACTCACATCCCCAAACACTTACCCTGTCCTTTTTTGATCGGGGGCCAAGGGTGGAGGCAGCATCCAAGAGAGCTTGGAGGAAGAAGGGACATACCCAGGCAGAATCAGGAAAACTGGGGGCCTTTGGAGAAGGGCAGAACAGAGTTAGGGTACAGGTCTTAAGTAAAATGTATTTATGTCATTGCAAAAGTTGCTGGTTGGGGAAAAAGGACAGAAGACTCATGAAAACAATTTAGGAAGATATACAGACCAATCTTTTCTCTCTCTCTTTTTCCAGTCTTCCAGTCTCACCACTCATTTCCTTAGTAATTTAATCCATTCTCATAGTTTCATCTTTCCTATGAGGTTTACTCCCAAATCAAGATCACCAGTTCAGCCTCTCTTGCCTCTTTCTTATGTTCTAGATTTCAAGATTAATCTTCCCCCAAAACAGCTCTGATCGTATCACTCACCCACTCAAAAACCTTCACTGGCTCCTCCATTATTTATTTATTTTTTTAAATTAATTAATTAATTTTTTTGTCCTTTTTGAGACCGGCCGCACCACGCTCAGCCAGTGAGCGCTGGGAGCACACCGGTCATCCCTATATAGGATCTGAACCCGCGGCGGGAGCGCTGCTGCGCTCCCGGCGCCGTACTCTCCTGAGTGTGCCACGGGCTCGGCCCTGGCTCCTCCATTATGATGGGCCACAGAGTAAAGGTCAAACTCTTCAGTCTTGCAGTAAGGATAACTCAACCTAATCTCAATCTACCTTTCTAGACATGTCTCCCACTAAAACCTGTCAGGCACCCTATTTTTCAGCCATATTATACTGGCACATGTTCCATGCTTTCTTGCCTCTGTTGCTCATTTCACACCCTTCCACTGACATCCCATTCGCACAGGTCCAAATTCTACCCATCCTTTGGACTTAGCTCAAATGTCACCTCTTGTATCAAGCCTATTTTGATCCTCTTGATCAGAAGCAATCTCTCCCACCTTTGAGACCTATAACAGTATGCCTTCTTTCCACCTCTTGACTTTAAACTCTTTAAAGGGAAAAATCATTGTATCCATTTTTGTTTACCATCAGTACCTAGCACAATACTAAATAAGTGTTTTAATGAATAAATAAACTGTGGGTACTAAGCATTTTTCTTGATTGGTCCTACAGCTGGGGAGAAAACTGGGGAAACAAAGGCTATATCCTCATGGCTCGTAATAAGAACAACGCCTGTGGCATTGCCAACCTGGCCAGCTTTCCCAAGATGTAATTCCAGCCAGACCAACCCCATCCTGCTCTTCCATTTCTCCTACGATGGTACAAAGTAATGATGGACTTTGGAAGGGAGTTGGTGTGCCATTCTTGAAGCATATGTGGTGATAGTTGAGATTGTTCAGTTTTCCTATTTGTTTGTGCTTCAAGTGATCCGTACTACATTCCTTCTCTCCCACAAAGCCTTTTTCAATTGGGCCACAGCAGGAATTTCCCTGACACGTATATACTCTTAGGCTAAGAGATATGACCATACCCTGTCCTGACTGGGTTGTCTTGGAGCTCATGCTGTGCAAAAAGAGTCTAGAGATCTTCATATAGGCTACATTCTCATTCACTGGGATTAGTTAGCTTTAACCATCTTAGAGGGCTAAAGTGACCTGACTTCATAGTTTCCAATTTCCCTCTATATCTTCAAGAGAGAAATTTCTGTGTTTTCCACTCCAATTCATAAAGCTATTAGTCTTTAGTATATGTTTATGTAAGATATATGTTTTATTTTTCCTCCTTTGCACTTTTTGAAATAAAGTATTTATCTCTGTCTACAATTTAATAAATAGTGTGTACTGCCATTCACTTAGTGTCTGATATTGTGTTAGGTGCTGGAGACAAAAAGAAGAATAAAACATGTTCCCTATACTGGATGTGCTCACAGTCTGATTGGAGAGACTGTCATATAAACAGTTCATTTCAATTCATTTATTTGTTTATTCCTTCAACCAACATTTATCAAGTGCTTATTCTATACCAAGAACTGTACAAAGTTTCTGTATTAAGAGGACACAAGGAAATCTCAATATTTAATTCTGCCTGTAGGGGGACCAGATTAAGTGGCACATGAGCCTGGGTCTTGAAAAATATCTTAAGGCCCTTTCTGAGGTTCTACAACCTAAACTTTTGCTGTTACCAAAAGAGGAAATTGAAATTTTTAAAACAATTTTAAAATTTTTTATTAGCATATTCATCATTACAAATCATACTTATTCTTTATGTCCCTTATCCAATCTCTCCAATTGCCCCCCCTCCCCCATTTCTCCTCCCCGCTTTTCTTCCCCCTGCCTCTTCTAATAACCATAGATTTGTTCTCTCCATCTGATAGATTAACTGTTCCTCTGTTGGTTTGTTGCCTAGATGATCTGTCCAGTACTGAGACAGGTGTGATCAAGTCTTCCCCTATTATCGCAAATCAGGTGCTTCTTCTATAACTCTGGAGTGTGCTTTGTGGAGAGAGAGGACTTCTTTTTTTGCAGGGGAGGGTCTCCCCTGGTGCCTCTCCTTGTGTCAGTGAAGTTGAAAGTCTGGCACGTCATCCACATGGTGACTGTGACTACGGTTATAGAGGCTAGCTGCTTTTGCAGCAGTCATGGCAATTGTGTTGGCTATGGAGGGCTACCCATGTGAAAATTGTGGTTTTGGTGTGCTCTTTACCTGCTTGTGGCTGGGTTCGGCTTCCCCCAACTTCATGCCTCAGGATTCCAGTGGGGCCCAGGGCGGTAGTGGCAGCTTGCCTAATTGTGGCTGGGTTCAACTTCCCCCAACTCCATGCCTCAGGATTCCAGTCGGGCCCAAGGCAGTGGTGGCAGCTTGCCTAGTTGTGGCTGGGTTCGGCTTCCCCTAGCTCCATGCCTCAGGATCCCAGTGGGGCCCAGGGTGGTGATGGCAGCTTGACTAGTCGTGGCTGGGTTCAGCTTCCCCCAGCTTCATGCCTCATACTAAGATGTTGTTGTGGAGCAGTTGAGGGGAAGAAGGAGAAGGAAGGGGTGAGGGAAAATAGGGTGGGAAGAGGGGGAAGTAAGGGGAGAGTGATCCAAGCCTGTAGCCCCCCCCCATTCTGGCAGGGGAGACTAGGGGTCTTCCAGCAGTGGCTGGGTTGTCACTGGGCTGGTTGCAGATGTCAGGGGGAATGTGGCTGAGGCCCTCAGCCCTTGCACCACCCCAGCTCAGGACCCATGGCCCTTTCTGCAGTGGCTTGGGGGTCATCGCTTGGCTGGTTGCAGATGTTGGCGGGTCATGGCTGAGGCCCTTGGCCCTCCCCCTTCTCTAGCTCAGGAGCCCAGGGGCTTCCGGTCCTTCTAGGTTTTATAGGTGTTCTTTGGTGGTGTTAGACCTTTACTAGTTAATATCAAACTTTGTCTCCGATCTGTGGATATTTTGTTTTTTCTTTCAGTCCTGTGTTGGATTATGCTGTTACCACCACTTAAACTCTGCACTGGAACTAATTTGTTGTCCTTTGCTTACTTCTAAAAGGGAGGAGTGTCCTGTGGGGACCAACACTTGAGCCCTGTAGTTGAGCTAAGCTAAATTGTTTCATTGCTCTGATTCTCTAGGGAAGGCTTTTTGTGCAGCTGAGATTTTAATGGTTGACCTTTTATGTACTTCGGGGACTCGTGAGGTCTGGTACACCTAGGTTGCATGGGAACTCTGCTCTGGGCCTAAGTCTTTTCAGCAAATGGCACCCCTTGCAGTTCTATATTCCCAAGCAGTCTCCAGTGAGTGGTCATGTGCTGATGGGAGGGCAGGTCAGCTGTCCGTGCTGTGTCCCAATACTCCCCCGGTGGACCCGTCTCCCCCACTGCCCGCACTTCAAACACTTCCCATAGGACAGGCTGTGCACCGGTCCCTTGTGATGACTCACTGGCCTCTGAGTGGTTCTTTTTTTCTATTGTCTGTGGCTCCTTGCTCCTATGTGGGTCCACAGGAACCCTGTTAGTGGTCTTGCTGGCCTGGAGGCCAAGGCCCTGTTCTCTCCTCCCACCTCCAAGCAACTTCATACAAAGGGCACAGCCGTGGCTTTTGCCAGCTCTTGCTCCATGTGCTCATCAGCTCCAGGCTTAAAGTGGCCAAGACTAGAAATGGTGGGAGCGATCCTTTCTTTCTCTCATCGTGGCTTCTCCTGCCTTCATGAACTCTGTAGGTCTCTCCTCTTCCCCTGAGCTCCAGCGGCCCCAGCTTGGCTGTCGTTTTTTAATAGTTGTAAATTGGTTGATTTGTGGGAGATAGTGACGCTGGGGACCGTCTGTTCCACCATCTTGACAGGAAGCCTGTGAAATTCTTTACTAATAGTTTCCAACCAGTATTAATTCTAAAAGAATTTAGCTGACAAATATGTCAGCACAACTTGCTTTGCCATTTTACACAACATGTTTATTGAGCATCCATTATTACCACTAGAATGAATTCATATTTGTTAAATGCTTACCATGTGTCAGGCACTTTTATTTTATTCTATGTAAAAAATTATTTATTTTTGTTTTTAAATATTTATTACCATGTGGTAAGTAATGTATTAAGGCTAGGAGGATGAAAAAAAATTAGTAACTCATGGCCCTGACTTCAAGAATATTGTAGACTAATGGCAGAGACAGATATAAACAACTAATAATACCAACCATAATGAAATAATTATGCCAGCTCAGGAATTCTTAATGGAATTTTAGATGAAGCTTCATTGAGAGCAGGGCTTTGAAAGATCTTAATGGGCAGAGAAGAGGGGTGGGGAGGGCATATCAGGCTGAAGATTCTGAATGAACAAAGGCCCAGAGCTGTGTGGGTGAATGGTGAGGGCTTGAGTGGCTTTAGTACAGAGTATAAAGGAATACATGGTAGATCTGAGGTCAGACAAGGTTGGAGATGAATCGTAGAAGGCCTTGAATGCCCACTATGTCCCAAGAAGTTCATACTTTATTTTATAGACACACATGTAGGAGGCATCAAATATTTTTGAGCAGGAGGGAGACATGATCGATCTATATTTTAGCAATATTCCTCTGGCAGTGGTGTAAAGAACAAACAAAAGATGAAGAACAAAGTGGAGATGCAAGAGATGAGAGGAAAGTCAACATTTAGGAGGCATTGCACATAATCCATTACTTCTCAAAGAAAGAATACTTCACAGAAGAATGACTCCAGAACTTTTTTGAAGCTTGAATATTAGTTTGGCAGATAGGGAAGGTAGGAAACAGCATTTCAGACCCAATGAATAGCATATTCAAATGGGTAGCCATGAGAGAGAGCATGCATATTCTATAATCTGCAAGTCTTATTTTTTGAGCTTTGAAAGGATGAAAGGCAAGCGTGAGGGATATCTGACTCTACTAGGCAAATCTACGCAAAGTTTTGTTCCTTTGATCTGGGATTTTTTTCCCTTCTGCCTAAAGAACATCCTTTAGTATTTCCTTTTGTGTGGATATGTGGACAATAAATTTATTCCCTTCCTACATGTTTTTGGGTTTATTTCTAGGTTTTTGATTCTGGTTCATTAACATGTATACCTATACTTCACAAGTACTGTGGATTGAATGCCCCCCCCCCAAAAAAAAAAAAAAAAAAATTAATCCCCACTGTGACAGTGTTAAGAGGGTGGGGAATCCTATTATGGTAATTGAAAGGTGGGGCCTTGAAGAGGTTATTTGATTGGGAAGACCATGACCGAGTAAATGGATTAATGGTAGTCATGGGCATGGTTCTGAGGGCTTTAAAAAGAGAAAGAGTTAGGAGTTAGCTCTCTCTCTTGCTTTTACCTTTCTTACAATGTGATACCCTGTGTAGCTGAAGTGTTCCCTGGACTTTGGACTTCCTGGCCTCTGAACTGTAAGCAATAAATTTCTTTTTTTTTTTTTTTTTTTTTACAAATTTCTCAGTTTTAGGTGTTTCTTTTATAAGCAATAGAAACAGACTAATATAATCACTATCACACATTTAATTAATAGAGCTTTATAATGTGTTTTAATAGGACAGGATTGGTCTTTCCATTATTGCTTTCATTTTTTCATTCAGTTTTTCCTGAATATTCTTGCTTTTTTATTTTGTCTATATCTTTAGAATCAGCTTGTCAAATTATCAAAAATCCTGCTGGTATTTTTATTTGGATCACATTAAATTTATATCTCAAATTTAGGGAAAATTGACCTCTTTGTAGTATTGAATCTTCCTAAGAGTTGAGGATACCTTTATATTTTTTATGCTCTTCTTATAAATCTTGCTCATTTCTTGCTAAGCATTTTTCCAGGAAGTTTGCCTTTATTTATTTATTTATCTATCTATCTATTTATTTATTTATTTTATTTTTTGCAGTCGAAAATAGGGTCTTTCCCAAAATATCTTGTAATTGGATGTATTTGTATATTTGAGAGATATTGATTTGTGTTATATTAGTTTTGTAAGTAGCTACCATATCTTGAATTCTGTTTTTATTTATGTTTTTCAGTTTATTCTCTTGAATTTTTTTGAGTATGTAAGTAAATTTCTTTCCAATTTTTACCTCTAATTTGTTTTTTATTAAAAAAAATTTTTTTAATGAGTCAAGTTAAGCAGTGGGAGTGGAGAAGGAACAAAGAAATCAGTAACTGGTTGTGACCAATTAGTTCTAAACACCACTGCACTTGGACCTGCCTGCTTCTAATTTCTTTGTTTTCTATTTGCATTAGATAATTCTTCCAAAATGATTCTAAGTAATAGAGGTGATAGATCCTGACCTAGAAACATGATTATTTTTATAGATGCATGAAATTCTACTGTAAAGATATACATAACTTATTTAACTAGTCCCCAATAAATGTACATGCTGTTTTCAGTGT